CCACATCGTTTTCCACAAGCCAGTGAAAAGATGCGTTTTCATACTGGCCAAATGGTATCACCAGCTTTCCCAGGCACAGCTGACGCGAAGGAGTGTGGATACCCTCCGCTCGAAGGAGCTTCTCTGCATGAGCCAAGGCTGTAGCCTGGTTCCGCAGCTCCTGTGGAGGTTTGGGAAAGAGCATCCTTTTCTCCCGATAGTAACGGGCCTCTTTTGTCGCCACCAATACGGCCTGCTGACGATATGGAGGGGCATCTGGGTTGATTACGCGGATTACTGGGCTCGCCATCTTCATTGACATACAAAACTGACAGTGACAGTAAACTCAGCAAGATCGTAACAGTGGGTCTCCGAAATGGCTCGATCAAGAGAAAAACTAGACCAATTCGCACAAAACAAAAACGTTGGTTAAGGTCTCCAAGGGTCTCAGATAACTTCCACCAAATCCCAAGACAATGAATGATATACGAATAAAGTAATGAGCGAAAGTCGGGTCCACATACGGGGCTAATGCGATTTTTGCGAGGCTGCTAATGAGATTTTTTTTCAAGTGACGCAAGCGACTGTAGACAGTTACGCGTTCTGATTGGTCTAGAGTCTACAGTGACTGTAGACTCTAGACCAAACAGAACGCGTAACTGTCTACAGTCGTTGCGCTACTGTGAGCTTCCCAAATGTGGAAATCTCGATTGCATAATTTCTGGTAGTGGGGGACTGCGTTCGCGCTCTCCCCTGATCTTGGTGTCCAAAATCAATTATTCAACTTTTGTCACTTTGTGGGTATTAGAGTTATGGTTCTGAGATCGGTTGAGTTAAGTGAGGTATGTCGGCAAAGTTAAGTGCGGAATGTCTGCATTTGCCTTTACTTTAGCTTTGCTTCTTCATCGGATGAATGCTAGCCAACTACGGCTAATTTATGGTCACGTCAAACAGTGCAGACAGAATAACAACAGTAGCTGCATTTTCATTTGTTTAAGCTGTTTTCTAGGGACATTTATTTGCATACATTCATAAGGATGAGCTAATGAGGCACGATTTCGCCTGGCATAGAAAATGTGCTCTCTCCTCAGGACATTGTTGTTCAGAGGAGCTAGCCAACAACACAGCTAACACAATCACTTCAAACTGAACTTGGAAAGACTGCAAACTAGCTGCACTTCGGTTCGTTATACCTATTTTCAATTGACATTTCTTTGTATATATCCATAAAAATGATGCCAGCTGTTTCATGATTTCGACTGGCTGAGAAAAGCTGCCTGCCTCTGTCTAGTCCCTACAATTGTATTACTATTGGACAGCTGGAGATCGAATTTGAATATTGAAACAATGTTGCAAATGTCGGAGAGACAGACATCAAGGTTTATACAAATCTCCCCTGTTGAAAACTAAATGTTAGTCTAAAAGAAATGTGAGACAATGTCTAGATGCTTTTTATAGTGGACATCAAGTTTATAAATTGCCTGGCTGGGTTGATGAAACAGTGGTTTGCACAGTCAGATGTAACAGAGTAAATAAGCATTTTAATGTAATAGATTTAGCCGGTGGTAACTTGTGGAATAGACACCATCTGGAATGCGGTTTTAAACAATCAGGATTAGACCCACCTGTTGTACACAAATGGGTAATTGTTTACAAGTTGCTAGCGATCCCATAAAGCCATCCCCGAACCCGACATATTTTCTTCTTCTTCTATGGTTTGTTAACTTCCTGTTCTTCGACGGACTCTGGCTGGACTGAAGATGATGCAAAGTTTAGAAGATTTCAAAGTATGCGGCGTCAGTCTCAGAACAGAGCCTTCAACCGCAAGGGGCCGTTGCAATTCCACTTCCTATCTGGGAACCATATATTAAATAGATTTTTGGAACAGGGAGATGGAATAGGGGTTTGCTTTGTCCACTCCATGCATCAACCTGGTATTGCAGTATCTCCAGGAACGGTGCACCCCTCTAATGTTGTTAAAGAATCGCATCTTTCTTTGCTAGCAGTGTCCTGTTTGAGCTCATTCTTATCAGAGTCAGTTCCTGCCAAAAAAAGAAAGTGCTGTATTTGTCAACTGTTTACATACTGTAATGACCCAGCTGGGTCATAAAGTAAAAGAGAGACGGGCACCAGGTGTACAGGCAGAACACAGGTTTATTCCTGAATGGGCTATTGTTCAGGCCACAGCCCACGCCGCTAAACCTCGAACATACACAAATATAACATGTCAAGTCAAGGGTCCAAAACAGAAGAGAGAGAGATGAGACCGTAACCCCGATTTAAGCATTCCAAAACCCCACGGGATTACCCATCATACCCCCCCAACCTTTCCATCTGTCCTGGCATATTTAACCCCTGCTAGCACCCATGAGAACGATAACACACCCACGAACACAGAACACAATACCGGGTCGTTACAATACTGTTGATATTCATGCATTTGTCAGAAGTCTTTGGATTTGCCCATTATTTTCACCAATCCAGGGCCTCTTGGAACGGTGCACTCCCTACCCGGGGAAATAACAGTGTTGAAAGCAAAACATCTGATATTGAAGGATGTTCGTTTGGCTCGTTTCGAAATAATTGGTCTACTTTTGGAAGATTTCAAAGTATGCGTTGTCCGTCTCGCAAGGAGCCTTCAACCGCAAGGGGCCATTGCGACTTCACTCCGTTGTCGACGTCCCCATTGAAATGCATGACATACAGTGCACTATAACGAAGTGTTTATGGGGAATGTGAACGAGGTTGTAGAATTTGTCCTGCTTTGCCTTGTCATCGGAAATCAATTGGGTCTATATCGCCGAGGCTCCTCAACTGTTTATAGTCTATCCGATTCTCCTTACAGCCAGACAAGCCTGAATACGCCTGATCTCAGAAGCCAATCAGCGTCGAGTATGGTTAGTACTTGGATGGGAGACCGCCTGGGAATACCAGGTTCTGTACGTTTTTTGCTCCAGTAGGGTGCACTTTTTTTTAGCAATGTTGCGTCAAGTTTTAGGGCTCTATTCAATCCGTATTGCGGAAGAGTAGCTTTACAGCTTGATTGAAATGTAAAGGTGTCATTTCAGAATGGGGACCACTGTAGCTCTGCTGGTGATGCTGTTCTGTCTGTCTGGAGCATGGGCTCAGTGAGAAAGTGGAGGAGTCAGAGAGATTAAATCACTCAACAGGGGGCAGAGCAGGTTGAGTGAGTTTCAGATCGAAAGTAGAGGGACTAACCCACAAGCAGACGACCAGCGGCCAGACCACCACCACCGCTGACATCTGGACTGAGCTGAAAGAGCTGATAGACATGGTGGTGCAAGAGAGTGGAGCTGAGGAACATGGAGGCCAGACTGGAGAGAGAGAGAGAGAGAGTGCAGGTATTGTACCTTGTATGAATATGGAAGTTAATGTGGTTTATCAAGTGGAGTTGAGATAATTGATTTCTTCCCATAATTCCAACACACGCAGTGGAGCTGTCAGCCATGGTGGCCAGAGTGACAGCCAGTGAGAGAATGGTGGAGGAACTAGAGAGAGAGAGAGAGAGAGAGAGAGAATTATGCAGGTAAAATACACCTTTCAATGGAAGAATGTATACTGAACAAAAATATAAACACAACATGTAAAGTGTTGGTCCCATGTTTCATGAGCTGAAATAAAAGATCCCAGAAATTTTCCATATGCACACAGATTTCTCTAAAATGTGTTTACATCCCTGTTAGTGAGCATTTCTCATTTGCCAAGATAATCCATCCACCTGACAGGTGTGGCTAATCAAGAAGCTGATTAAACAGCATGATCATTACACAGGTGCACCTTGTGCTGGGGACAATAAAAGGCCACTCTAAAATATGAAGTTGTCTCACAACACAATGCCACAGATGTCGCAAGTTTTGACAGAGCATGCAGTTGGCATTGCTGACTGCAGCAATGTCCACCAGAGCGGTTGCCAGAGAATTGAATGTTCATTTCTCTACCATAAGCCACCTCCAATGTCATTTTAGAGAATTTGGCAGTACGTCCAACCGGCCTCACAACCGCAGACCATGTGTAACCATACCAGCCCAGGACCTCCACATTTTGCTTCTTCACATGCAGGATCGTCTGAGACCAGCCACCCGGACAGCTGATGAAACTGAGGAGTATTTATGTCTGTAATAAAGCCCTTTTTGTGGGGAAAAACGAATTCTGATTGGCTGGGCCTGGCTCCACAGTGGGTGGGCCTGGTTCCCATGTGGGTGGGCCTATGCCCTCCCAAACTCACCCATGGCTGAGCCCCTGCCTAGTCATGTGAAATCCATAGATTAGGGCCTAATTAATTCATTTCAATTGACTGATTTCCTTAGATGAACTGTTATTTAGTAAAATTGTTGCATGTTGCATTTATATTTTTGTTCAGTATAAAATTATTTGTATTTTGTACAGGACAAAGTCCATTGTTTGTGTGGTTCTTCTAATCCCAGCACAAGAATTGGAGCTATCTGCCATGGAGGCCAGAATGACAGCCAGTGAGAGAACGGTTGATGAACTGGAGAGAGAATGCAGGTAATGGAATTGTGACACAGTTGAGAATATTCTTAGTTTAAGCCTAATCTATGGTTTTAAAAAATGTAGACACTGTCTGAAATTACCCTTTGTTCACCAATAGACCAAAGCTGGCCTTCTCCGCTGGTTTAGGCCTAGAAGCTGTAGGACCCACACTTACACAGTGGTCTACAGTAGAATTATCACCAACATTGGCAAGGCTTACAACCCAACTACAGGCACTGATCACATTAACCTACTCACTCTGAATCTATCTACAGTCTAACATTACTATAAGTGTCAATGAGAGACGGACAGTGCTGATATCACCTTGCTTCTCCTTTAATACAGTTATCTTCACATCACCAGTGAGAGGAGTCTACTACTTCAAATACACTGTCAACGATTGGAGCAGTTCTCATTAAATGAGTGTATATTTTTACCATAATGACCAGCAACTTATTTGTAATGTGGAACCCATTAACCATAATGGCTATTATGAGTTAATGTGTTGTCTCTAGAGCTGGAGGAGGGGGCTGTGGTCTAAATGAGTCTCCCCTCAGGCCATGGACTCTGTAACATATTCAGTGGCATCCTGCTCTTCCCTATGTGAAGAGAACAACAATTTCAATGCTGTAATGATGAACTCAGCTTTCTGATGTAAGCAGTACCTGCCCTAAACTCGTCCAATGTTCCTTTATAACCAATAAATAGAAAAGCAAACATGACTCCAGTCTCAGTTGAATTAAGGCAATAAAAGGTTACAAAATGTTTGAAAACGAACTGTGGCAATTTCAAACGATCATAGCACCTACTTCTTGAATAATTTAAATGCATTTTCATCGTTCTGTAGATATATTTCTCTCCGCCAGAGGGCACAATTATAAATAACGTCATCAAACCGTCCACAACACCGCGCTGGACGCGTGACGCTCTTTTCTGATTAAATTGAGTCAGTTAGGTGGGGGGGGGGACTCCGTCTTTGTGTCGAATTCCCAACTTCAATCCGACAAAATGATCATCTACAAGGACATCATCACTGGTATGGACGAATATATCGTATGCCCGTGAATGTCTTTCCTTGAAATTATGCTGTATCATGGTATCTGTATTTAGAATTAACTGACCGGGTCTTTCAAGGTTCCCAGCGCTGTGAAACCTGCCAAAGGCAAAGGCCTTGTACAGGCCCACACGTAACCTTCAGTTGTGTATGATTTTACCTTAAACTATTTTACACTAATACACACACTGAGGCTTTTAATAAAGAAAATGGGACCGTTTGATAATGTAACAACAGGTGAAGGTTTACTTATGGTGACGCCTATGAGCTAGATTGTGCGCGTCCTATAATAAACTCAACAGGTGCAGCTAACGGTACATGGCATACCGGTATGTGGATATTAGCTTGTGCTATAGCCAGTCTGCAGCTGCTTTCTATGTGTGCGCTGTCAAAAGGTGCGGTCAACGAACACCAAAACACTCAATCACTGTACAGTCGACATTCCACCCACTGGTCATTTGCACACATACTATTAGCATAACAGTATGCTTCTAATCCAGTTATGTTAGCTTTGTAAATCTAGCAGCTCTTGCTAGTACCACAGCAGCGTCTGTAGCCGGTCTGTCAGCCGTCTAACAAATAGGATTAGTGGGCATGCTCAGCTATGTTATCCGGCGGCAGCAGGGCCCTGGCCTGGGGAAAGTCTGTACAAGGCCTGAGGCCAACCACATGACAACTTTGTAACTGTAAACTATTAATATGGTTTCAATTAATTCTGTTTTTATTGCAGGGGATGAAATGTTCTCAGACATTTACAAGATCAAAGAATCACCAAATGGAATCTTATTCGAAGTTGAGGGAAAGGTGCGTCTCCAATGCAGGTATATGCTCTCTGAGTTTTGGGGGTGACAGGTGAGGTGTATCAGGATTTGGAGCCAGTAATTAAGTTGGGTATCATCTCATAGCTTGCCCTAAAACAGAGTTTACAAAGACTAGTCCTATCAGATGGTCTTGAAGTACAATAAGGTGTTTAAAGTATTGAGACCCAACCACTGAGTGACTCAGCACTCACTCTCCCCCCCCCTTCCTATCTGCCTCCGGTCCTCCCCCTATCCTCCCTTCAGATGGTCAGTAGAACGGAGAACATCGATGACTCTTTGCTGGGGGCGAATGCGTCGGCGGAGGTGCAGGATGACAGCTGTGAGTCCAGCACGGTCAGTGGAGTGGACATCGTTCTCAACCACAAACTGCAGGAGACATCCTTCACCAAGGACTCATACAAGGGATATATCAAGGACTACATGAAGGCGTGAGTGGGTTAGCGAGGGGTGTGTGGTGTGATGTATGTCAAAGGACTAGGCCGGGTTAGCCCTATCAGTCCCCCTTTGCGCCCGCAAAGCTGTAATTGTACTTATGTAGATTAAAAATGTCCCTATTTGAAATTAAATGCAATTTAAGGTGTGTGTGTGTGTGTGTGCAGGATCAAGGCTAAGCTGGAGGAGAACAACCCAGACAGAGTGAAGCCCTTCATGACTGGAGCTCAGGAGGAGATCAAGAAGATCATGGGCAACATGAAGAACTACCAGGTAACCAACCATCTACTACTCCCAACAGCCCAGTCAGTTACACATGTTCTGCCCAAGCTTGCTGGGTATTCATAGACTTGAGAACCTGGGGTGTATTCATTACGCCGGTTCTCTTTCATTTGGTGTCGCTCCTTTTCCCCTTATTTCTGTTTCCCAAATCTCTCTCCCTCACTCTCCACCACTCTCTCTACATCCCCTCTCCCTGTAGTTTTTTACAGGTGAGTCTATGAACCCAGATGGTATGGTTGGTCTGCTGGACTTCCGTGAGGACGGCATCACTCCCTTCATGACCTTCTTCAAAGACGGCCTGGAGATCGAGAAATGCGTGAGTCCCTTTAGTCCGGTCTACTCGTGTAATAATAACACTTAATTATGTTATAACCAGTCTACTTGTATGTTATAATCATTGTCCTTCCTCCTCTCTTTCATAGTAATACTCTGGAATCAGAACTTTGTTTCTATTGGCTGCTGCATCTCATCTGACCCACGACCAGTGACCAACCAGACGACTCTTCTGCATTACGTTTGGAATGGAAGTACAGTACCAGTCAAAAGTTTGGACACACCTACTTGTCCAAACCTTTGACTGGTAGTGTATTATATGATGACCAAACCAAGTCATGTCTATGGGGTTGACAGAAGGGGTGCTGTGACAGTATTACGGTATTATTTCTATTGATCTTATTGATTATGGTGTTCAACTTTGAGTATTGCAGTGTTCTGTTAACTGGTATATTCAGGAAGTACCGATCAGAACATTCAGATAGAAATGTATAGATTAGAGCAGATATGCCTCTCTGTCATGCAGAATACACAATATGTTACATTTCTAACTGGGACATTCTATATGTCACACACAGTTTGCTGCTGGATGATTTGTTTAACTCTGCGAAGACAGTGTTTCAGGTCACTGATTGGTTATTCATTAATTGGTTATTTATTGTTGATTAATTAACTATCAGGCCTCCATTTGCTTGGTTTACAGTTACATTAGATGTGACACCCTTACTAAAAGTAGTGGGATAGCTTAGGACTTTCTGATTAATAAATAAAACACTGGATAAAACCTAAACAGATGTAGTGTTATTCTGTCAGAAAATGTAGATGCAACAGTCATTAGATTCATCAAATATCATTTGATGTTACACCATTGGTCTTTTTGTTGAAAAAATACACTACACTGCTCGTCGAACATCTCATTCCAAAATCATGGGCATTAATATGGAGTTGGTCCCCCCTTTGCTGCTATAACAGCCTCCACTCTTTTGGGAACATTGCTGAAGGGACTTGCTTCCATTCAACCACAAGAGCATTAGTGAGGTCAGGCACTGATGTTGGGCAACTCGCCCTGGCTCGCAGTCGGCGTTCCAATTCATCCTAAAGGTGTTCGATGGAGTTGAGGTCATGGCTCTGTGCAGGGCAGTCAAGTTCTTCCACGCCTTCCCCATACTGTTGTCACAAAGTTGGAAGCACAAAATCGTATAGAATGTCATTGTATGCTGTAGCGTTAAGATTTCCGTTAACTGGAACTAAGGGGCCTAGCCCAAACCATGAAAAACAGCCCCAGACCATTAGTCCTCTTCCACCAAACTTTACAGTTGGCACTATGCATTGGGGCAGGTAGCGTTCTCCTGGCATCCGCCAAACCCAGATTCGTCCGTCGGACTGCCAGATGGTGAAGCGTGATTCATCACTCCAGAGAACGCGTTTCCACTGCTCCAGAGTCTAATGGCGGCGAGCTTTACCGCCACTCCAGCCGATGCTTGGCATTGCGCATGGTGATCTTAGGCTTGTGTGCGGCTGCTCGGCCATGGAAATCCATTGCATGAAGCTCCCAACGAACAGTTATTGTGCTGACGTTGCTTCCAGAGGCAGTTTGGAACTCTGTAGTGAGTGTTGCAACCGAGGACAGCACTCGGTGGTTCCGTTCTGTGAGCTTATGTGGCCTACCACTTCGCGGCTCAGCCGTTGTTGCTCCTAGATGTTTCCACTTCGCAATAACAGCACTTACAGTTGACCGGGGCAGCTCTACCAGGGCAGAAATCTACTGCCAATGTTTGTCAATGGAGATTGTACGGCTGTGTGCTCGATTTTATACACCTGTCAGCAACAGGTGTGGCTGAAATGGCCGAATCCACTCTTTTGAAGGGGTGTCCACATACTTTAATATATATTGTGTAGTTTCCCTCAAAAGCTTGTTCTGTCAAGTAAGTACACATTCAGTGACAGAAAATGTCAAATATTCCAAAACCGGTAGTTACATTATTTTATAAATTATTTACAAATGATAGTGCAAAGTTGCAGCTTCTGTAACTAAAGTGAAAAAGAAAATAGAACAATTTCTACAAGCTGCACCAAAACGACATAGAAAAGAACACATCCAAATTAGTGTTGCTTTAAGGCAAGTGCTTCACACAGTATGGTTCATAGTGCAAGATCCCACACACCATCCTACCAACAGCTGATAAAAAGTAGACCCTTTGTGATTATGTAGTTTTGGGTATCAGTCAAGATCAAACTTAAAGTGAAAGACAAAAGAACAAAGACTCTCTCCACTTCTGTGATGGTAGGCCCTCAGGTCAATGTCTGTATCCCAGACAGGGTGCTCTGTTCTGGCCTAGTCACTCTTTATCTCCTCCTCTCCTCCCTGGTAGTGGCGGTACTCTGGCTTCAGTTCCCATGTACTCTTGTGGGTTCCTTTAGCGTTGTACACTCCTATCTCCCTCAGGATCTCCTTCAAGTAGGTCTACAGAAAACACACAGACAAACATCTCTCTGGGTCTCCTTTATATATGTTTATAGGAGACTGGCAGTTTAGGACTGGACTCATCTACCAGTGAGGCGAGTCTATCTGTTATTCCTAGTGTCAAAAGCCATTTGTTGTAGTTGATAATGTCCACTAGATGTCAATAGTGGGTAATGGTTGACATTTCTCCTCCAGATACAGATCTACAGTATGTGTTCTGATTCTGTTCAACATATTACAGTGTAACTAATCAGGCCTCGGGTTACTATAGTTCACTCTGACATGCTGTTCTCCCTGTGAAGCTCACTGGAGAGTAGGGTTACAGTGGTGGAGTGTAATCTATCCTGGAGAGCGAGGGTTACAGTGGTGGAGTGTAATCTATCCTGGAGAGCGAGGGTTACAGTGGTGGAGTGTAATCTATCCTGGAGAGCGAGGGTTACAGTGGTGGAGTGTAATCTATCCTGGAGAGCGAGGGTTACAGTGGTGGAGTGTAATCTATCCTGGAGAGCGAAGGTTACAGTGGTGGAGTGTAATCTACCCTGGAGAGCGAGGGTTACAGTGGTGGAGTGTAATCTACCCTGGAGAGCGAGGGTTACAGTGGTGGAGTGTAATCTATCCTGGAGAGCGAGGGTTACAGTGGTGGAGTGTAATCTACCCTGGAGAGCGAGGGTTACAGTGGTGGAGTGTAATCTATCCTGGAGAGCGAGGGTTACAGTGGTGGAGTGTAATCTACCCTGGAGAGCGAGGGTTACAGTGGTGGAGTGTAATCTACCCTGGAGAGCTGAGTAGAACCATTCGCAGCGCATACTCACTTATCGTAATGAAATCAGACAGACAGCGAACAGGTTGCTGTGTGTGTGTGTGACTAACCACTGGTTGCTTGGTGACCACCACCAGGTCTTTGATGTTGTAGTACTGGTGTTTCTCAAAGGCGGAGAAGAGCATGTCCATCACCTGCTGTCTTTCTGCCCTCACCATCCTACCTTCAGTCTTCTTCTTCTTCTCACACTCTACCTACACACACACTCACACACAACACAGAACACCCACACAGGGGCAAGGAGGAAGCAATGTAGAAGTGCACGTTACAGTTCCAAATGTGTATTGATCCAACACTACAAAGATATGTAATCTCCAGGAGCATGCAAGCAGGCACACTCACACACGGTGCTTTTTATCATGTGATATGGCAGTGTTCTTACGTTAGCAACATGGTTGGATACAGGTTTGAAGTTGTTGGTGACAGCCTTGTCCATCTGCTCGGTCAGACGCTGGGGCTTGGTAGACACCTCAATCTGTAATCTGAGGAGAGGGGGGTACAGTATAGTACACATTTTAGAACAATGTCACAGAACTGTTTGAGAGAACCTGAGAAATGATTCTAATGAATGAAGATATAGGGTCTCAACGAGAGAAGCAGCCCAGTGGGCAGAGCAGTGAATAGAAAACGCAGCAGAACAATAGCATCCTGCTGTTTAACAGTTGAATAATGCATATAGCCTTCTAGTATAACGTACAGTACTGGCACTGCTGTGCACATACAGAAACAAAGGCAGACATGCATGTGTTCAAACACACAGAGAGAGGCTCTATCCAAAATTACAACCAACTAACTGCAGCATTACCGCAAAAATGGAAGAGGCAAGTGGAAGGGGGAAAAAGTAAGGAACTTGTCGGCCGGCCCTGCATTAAAGACCAAAATTGGTTTAAGAAAATTGTGATAAATAAAAAAAGTATACCAGTTACATTTAAGGACCACATTTTTTTACAGCTGTGCCATATAGATTGCAAAATATTTGGGAAGAGATTTTTGATCTACCGATTCCATGGTTTATGAACTGTTACACAAAACGACGCCAGACTCAAAACTTAGACTTTTTCAATTTACATGACTATACAAAATTCTTGTAACCAATAGAATGTTATATATATGTATATATGGGGGATACAACCATCCCAGCTCTGCAGATTTTGCTGCGAAAATAATCATTAGATCAATTGTTTTGATACTGTCCATATGTAGCTTGTTTTTTGTCGCAGGTCCAGGAATGGCTGAAAAATTGCAACATTTACCTGGAGCTAACTCTGCAAATAGCACTGCTGGGTGATTTGTGAAGTCATAGTCAAATCGATCAATAATATAATAATACCTTTAGCAAAAACATTTATCTTAAATTTACAATCTGTAGAATCTATGAGAATAGAAAGGTTCAGAACTTTTGTGAAACATCACAGCACAGTTGAAAAAAATATAGCAAATAGAAATACAAAATTGATGGTGCTAAGAGATAGATGGGAGGGGTTGAGTGGAGCTGAAGGGTGGGACTAAAAACAACAAGATAACTAATGTAAAATATACTGTGTCTGTAAAATGTATACACAGTGCCTTCGGAAAGTATTCAGACCCATTGACTTTTTCCATATTTTGTTACGTTACAGCCTTATTCTAAAATGTATTAACTTGTTTTTTCCCCTTATCAATCTACACACCATACCCCATAATGACAAAGCAAAAACAGGTTTTTAGAAAATATTGCTAATTTATAAAAAATTTAAAAATACACATTTACATAAGTATTCAGACCTTTTACTCAGTACTTTGTTGAAGCACCTTTGGCAGCGATTACGGCATTGAGTCTTCTTGGGTATGACGCTACAAGCTTGGCACACCTGTATTTGGGGAGTTTCTCCAATTCTTCTCTGCAGATCCTCTCAAGCTCTGTCAGGTTGGATGGGGAGTGTTGCTGCACAGCTATTTTCAGGTCTCTCCAGAGATGATAGATCGGGTTCAAGTCCGGGCTCTGGCTGGGCCACTCAAGGACATTCAGAGACTTGTCCCGAAGCCACTCCTGCGTTGTCTTGGCTGTGTGCTTAGGGTTGTTGTCCTGTTGGAAGGTGAACCTTCGCCCCAGTCTGAGGTTCTGAGCGATCTGGAGCAAGTTTTCATCAAGGATCTCCCTGTACTTATCTCCATTCATCTTTGCCTACATCCTGAGTAGTCTCCCAGTCCCTGCGGCTGAAAAACATTCCCACAGCATGATGCTGCCACCACCATGCTTCACCGTAGGGATGGTGCCAGGTTTACTCCAGACGTAACGCTTGGCATTCCGGCCAAAGAGTTCAATCTTGGTTTCATCAGACCAGAGAGTCTTGTTTATCATGGTCTGAGTGGCCATTAGGTGCATTTTGGAAAACTCCAAGCGGGCTGTCATGTACCTTTTACTGAGGAGTGGCTTCCGTCTGGCCACTCTACCATAAAGGCCTGATTGGTGGAGTGCTGCAGAGATGGTTGTCCTTCTGGAAGGTTCTCCCGCCCCCACAGAGGAACTCTAGAGCTCTGTCAGAGTGACCATTGGGTTCTTGGTCACCTCCCTGACCAAGGTCCTTCTCCCCGATTGCTTAGTTTGGCCGGGCGGCCAGCTCTAGGAAAAGTCTTGGTAGTTCCAAACGTCTTACATTTAAGAATGATGGAGGCCACTGTGTTCTTGGGGACCTTCAATGCTGCATAAATGTTTTGGTACCCTTCCCTAGATCTGTGCCTCGACACAATCCTGTCTCGGAGCTCTACGCACAATTCCTTTGACCTCATGGCTTGGTTTTTGCTCTGACATGCACTGTCAACTGTGGGACCTTATATAGACAGGTGTGTGCCTTTCCAAATCATGCCCAATCAATTGAATTTACCACAGGTGGACTCCAATCAAGTTGTAGAAACATCTCAAGGATGATCAATTGAAACAGGATGCACCTGAGCTCAATTTCGAGTCTCATAACAAAGGGTCTGAATACTTATGTAAATAAGGTATATGTTTTTAAATGGTTATACATTTGCAAAAATGTCTAAAAACCTGTTTTCACTTTGTCATTATGGTGTATTGTGTGTAGATTGCTGAGATTTGTATTTTATTTAATCCATTTTAGAATAAGTCTAACGTAACAAGGGGTCTGAATACTTTCCGAAGGCACTGTAGGTTCAGAACTTTTGTGAAACCGCACAGTTAAAAATATATGGCAAATAGAAATCAAACTGGATAGTCTTCGGAGATAGATGGGAGGGGTTGAGGGTAGCTGAAGGATGGGATTAAAAACAAACAAAACATAACTATTGTCAAATACATTGTGTCCGTAAAATGTATATAGTATATATAAGCTTAAGTGTTGTTAGTTTACTCCAATTAGCGGAGGAGTGGTAGGGTTAGGGTAAAATAATAAAGGAAAATATATATTTTAATAATATTATTATACACACACATACACACATCCATACATATACACACATATACAGTTGAAGTCGGAAGTTTACATACACTTAGGTTGGAATCATTAAAACTCGTTTTTTCACCCACTCCACAAATTTCTTTTTAACAAAGTATTGTTTTGGCAAGTCGGTTAGGACATCTACTTTGTGCATGACACAAGTAATTTTTCCAACAATTGTTTACAGACAGATTATTTCACTTATAATTCACGGTATCACAATTCCAGTGGGTCAGAAGTTTACATACACTAAGTTGACTGTGCCTTTAAACAGCTTGGAAAATTCCATAAAATGATGTCATGGCTTTAGAAGCTTCTGATAGGCTAATTGACATCATTTGAGTCAATTGGAGGTGTACCTGTGGATGTACTTCAAGGCCTACCTTCAAACTCAGTGCTTCTTTGCTTGACATCATGGGAAAATCTCAGAAAAAAGACCTCAGAAAAAAGAACTGTAGACATCCACAAGTCTGGTTCATCCTTGGAAGCAATTTCCAAATGCCTGAAGGTACTACGTTCATCTGTACAAACAATAGTACGCAAGTATAAATACCATGGGACCACGCAGCCGTCATACCGCTCAGGAAGGAGATGCGTTCTGTCTCCTAAAGATGAACGTACTTTGGTGTGAAAAGTGCAACAATCCCAGAACAACAGCAAAGGACCTTGTGAAGATTCTGGAGGAAACAGGTACAAAAGTATCTATATCCACAGTAAAATGTGTCCTATATCGACATAACCTGAAAGGGCGCTGAGCAAGGAAGAAGCCACTGCTCCAAAACCTCCATACAAAAAGCCAGACTACGGTTTGCAACTGCACATGGGGACAAAGATCATACTTTTTGGAGAAATGTCCTCTAGTCTGATGAAACAAAAATAGAACTGTTTGGCCATAATGACCATCGTTATGTTTGGAGGAAAAGGGGGGACGGCTTGCAAGCCGAATAACACCATCCCAACCGTGAAGCACGGGGGTGGCAGCATCATGCTGTGGGGGTGCTTTGCTGCAGGAGGGACTGGTGCACTTCACAAAATAGATGGCATCATGAGGAAGGCAAATTATGTGGATATATTGAAGCAACAGCTCAAGACATCAGTCAGGAAGTTAAAGCTTGGTCGTAAATGGGTCTTCCAAATAGACAATAACCCCAAGCATACTTCCAAAGTTGTGGCAAAATGGCTTAAGGACTACAAAGTCAAGGTATTGGAGTGGCCATCACAAAGCCCTGACCTCAATCCTATAGCAAATTTGTGGGCAGAACTGAAAAAGCGTGTGTGAGCAAGGAGGCCTACAAACCTGACTCAGTTACACCAGCTCTGTCAGGAGGAATGGGCCAAAATTCACCCAACTTATTGTGGGAAGCTTGTGGAAGGCTACCCGAAACGTTTGACCCAAGTTAAACAATTTAAAGGCAATGCTACCAAATACAAATTGAGTGTATGTAAACTTCTGACCCACTGGGAATGTGATGAAATAAATCTTTTTCTCTACTATTATTCTGACATTACACATTCTTAAAATAAAGTGGTGATCCTAACTGACCTAAAACATGGAATTTTTACTAGGATTAAATGTCAGGAATTGTGAAAAACTGAGTTTAAATGTATTTGGCTAAGGTGTATGTACATTTCCAACTTCAACTGTATATACACACACATACATATATACACACACATACATATATACACATATATATTCACACATATATACAGTGAGGGAAAAAAGTATTTAATCCCCTGCTGATTTTGTACGTTTGCCCACTGACAAAGACATGATCTGTCTATAATCTTAATGGTAGGTTTATTTGAACAGTGAGAGACAGAATAACAACAAAAAAAATCCAGAAAAACACATGTCAAAAATGTTATAAATTGATTTGCATTTTAATGAGGGAAATAAGTATTTTACCTCTCTGCAAAACATGACTTAGTACTTGGTGGCAAAACCCTTGTTGGCAATCACAGAGGCCAGACGTTTCTTGTAGTTGGCCACCAGGTTTGCACACATCTCAGGAGGGATTTTGTCCCACTCCTCTTCTCCAAGTCATTAAGGTTTTGAGGCTGACGTTTGGCAACTCGAACCTTCAGCTCCCTCCACAGATTTTCTATGGGTTTAAGGTCTGGAGACTGGCTAGGCCACTCCAGGACCTTAAATGTGCTCCTTGAGCCACTCCTTTGTTGCCTTGGCCGTGTGTTTTGGGTCACTGTCATGCTGGAATACCCATCCACGACCCATTTTCAATGCCCTGGCTGAGGGAAGGAGGTTCTCACCCAAGATTTGACGGTACATGGCTCCGTCCATCGTCCCTATGATGCGGGGCGGCAGGTAGCTTAGTGGGTAAGAGCGTTGTGCCAGTAACTGAAAGGTCGCTGGTTCTAATCCCCGAGCCGACTAGGTGAAAAATCTGTCGATGTGCCCTTAAGCAAGGCACTTAACCCTAATTGCTCCTGTAAGTCGCTCTGGATAAGACCGTCTGCTAAATGACTAAAATGTAAAATGTAAAAAATGTGAAGTTGTCCTGTCCCCTTAGCAGAAAAACAACCCCAAAGCATAATGTTTCCACCTCCATGTTTGACGGTGGGGATGGTGTTCTTGGGGTCATAGGCAGCATTCCTCCTCCTCCAAACACGGCGAGTTGAGTTGATGCCAAAGACCTCGATTTTGGTCTCATCTGACCACAACACTTTCACCCAGTTCTCCTCTGAATCATTCAGATGTTCATTGGCAAACTTCAGACGGGCCTGTATATGTGCTTTCTTGAGCAGGGGGACCTTGCGGGCACTGCAGGATTTCAGTCCTTCACGGCGTAGTGTGTTACCAATTGTTTTCTTGGTGACTATGGTCCCAGCTGCCTTGAGATCATTGACAAGATCCTCCCGTGTAGTTCTGGGCTGATTCCTCACCGTTCTCATGATCACTGCAACTCCATGAGGTGAGATCTTGCATGGAGCCCCAGGCCGAGGGAGATTGACAGTTATTTTGTGTTTCTTCCATTTGCAAATAATCGCACCAACTGCTGTCACCTTCTCACCAAGCTGCTTGGCGATGGTCTTGTAGCCCATTCCAGCCTTGTGTAGGTCTACAATCTTGTCCCTGACATCCTTGGAGAGCTCTTTTGTCTTGACCATGGTGGAGAGTTTGGAATCTGATTGATTGCTTCTGTGGACAGGTGTCTTTTATACAGGTAACAAACTGAGATTAGGAGCACTCCCTTTAAGAGTGTGCTCCTAATCTCAGCTCTTACCTGTATAAAAGACACCTGGGAGCCAGAAATCTTTCTGATTGAGAGGGGGTCAAATACTTATTTCCCTCATTAAAATGCAAATCAATTTATAACATTTTTGACATGCGTTTTTCTGGATTTTTGTTTTGTTATTCTGTCTCTCACTGTTCAAATAAACCTACCATTAAAATTATAGACTGATCATTTCTTTGTCAGTGGGCAAACGTACAAAATCAGCAGGGGATCAAATACTTTTTTCCCCTCACTGTATATACACATATACATACACATACATACATATATATATATATATATATATATACAGCTCTGGAAAAAATTAAGAGACCACTGCAAATGTTTCTTAAATTAGCATCTCTACATGGATGACAGCCATTCCATTCCAGTGTCTGTTGAATGCCAACACAGGCACACCTCATTCTACTGATTTAGGTACTGATTAGGTGATCACCTGAACCAAATGTTATTTAACGAGGAAAAGTATAAAAACCACTGCTGTGGTCATCACTATCCTCTTGCAATAGGACCAGCTGGATGGCAAAAACAGTGCCAACAGTACCTCAAAAGTAATATTAATCAAAAAGTAACTATTGACCATGCCAAAAGAGTTGAAAAGGAAAGTTCTGAGTGAGGAAAAGAAGGGTTCAATTCTGGCTTTACTGGCAGAGGGATACAGTGAGCGTCAGGTTGCTTCCATCCTTAAAATGTCAAACACGGCGGTTCATAAGAACAAGGTCAAGCAGCAGACATTGGGAACAACAAAGCTACAGACCAGCAGAGGGCGAAAACGACTCTATTGACCGGGAAGACCGCCAACTCATTCGAATGTCACTCAACAACCGTAGGATGACATCAAGTGACCTACAAAAAGACTGGCAAACGGCAGCTGGGGTGAAGTGCACGGCGAGGACAGTTCGAAACAGGCTCCTAGGGGCAGGGCTGATGTCGTGCAAAGCTAGAAAAAAGCCCTTCATCAATGAGAAGCAAAGAAGAGCCAGGCTCAGGTTTGCAAAAGACCATAAGGATTGGACCGTAGAGGACTGGAGTAAGGTAATCTTCTCTGATGAGTCCAATTTTCAGCTTTGCCCAGCACCTGGTTGTCTAATGGTTCGATGGAGACCTGGAGAGGCCTACAAGCCACAGTTCCTCGCACCCACTGTGAAATTTGGTGGAGGATCGGTGATGATCTGGGGGTACTTCAGCAAGGCTGGAATCGGGCAGATTTGTCTTTGTGAAGGACGCATGAATCAAGCCACGTACAAGGTTGTCCTGGAAGAAAACTTGCTTCCTTTTGCTCTGACATTGTTCCCCCAACTCTGAGGATTGGTCTTTCCAGGAGGACAATGCGCCATGCCACACAGCCAAGTCAATCAAGGTGTGGATGGAGGACCACCAGATCAAGACCCTGTCATAGCCAGCCCAATCTCCAGACCTGAACCCCATTGAAAACTTCTGGAATGTGATCAAGAGGAAGATGGATGGTCACAAGCCATCAAACAAAGCCGAGCTGCTTGAATTTTTGCGTGGCATAAAGTCACCCAACATCAATATGAAAGACTGGTAGAGAGCATGCCAAGACGCATGAAAGCTGTGATTGAAAATCAGGGTTATTCCACCAAATATTGATTTCTGAACATGAACTTATTTGCTTTGCATTATTCGAGGTCTGACAACACTGCATCTTTTTTGTTATTTTGACCAGTTGTCATTTTCTGCAAATAAATGCTCTAAATGACAATATTTTTATTTGGAATTTGGGAGAAATTGTCAGTAGTTTATAGAATAAAACAAAAATGTTAATTTCACCCAAACACATACCTATAAATAGTAAAACCAGAGAAACGTATATTTTTGCAGTGGTCTCTTAATTTCTTCCATAGCTGTATACAGTGGGGAGAACAACTATTTGATACACTGCCGATTTTGCAGGTTTTCCTACTTACAAAGCATGTAGAGGCCTGTAACATCTCATGCCTGTAAGAGTTTGCAGCCTGGCTAGAGCACAGGTGCCAAGACCAGAGTAGGCGCGTAAACAAGATGGCGTATTGAATAGAAATCGGTACAAAACACCTCAAGATAAAAACATAATATTCAAAATCAGTAAGTTAGACTAAATATTAGCATATTATATATTCGCAGTTAATATAATTCAATCTGGATAATAACAGAAATAAGATCATAAGGCTAGAGAAATATATCGACAAATATTACTACAACAAGCAACACCCAAACATGACTGAAGACAAGCGTGGAGAGCCGATCCCCAAAAGAAAACGCGACTCATCGACAGATACAGATGATATATGCTTTTCACCACTAGGTATGGTAAGTGTGGAAAGCGACCTGTTGAAGTCGATAAATGACAAATTGGGCATATTAGAACTGGTCAGTAAAGACGTAAAAGAGTTGAAAGCGAGTCTTCAAATGAGTGACGAAAAAGCTTTGGTAATGGAGAAAGAAACCAAAGAAATAAAAGTGACAGTCTCTAAAATGGAAACGGACGTTAGGGAATTAAAAAAGGAGAACAATCTTCTGAGAGAAGCCTTACTAGACATCCAAACTAGATCGATGAGGGAAAATCTAGTACTTACGGGTATTCAGGAAAAGGAGGGAGAAATAACAGAGAATATTATGAAGGACTTCCTGCATACAGCGCTACAAATCCCACTCGAGGCTGTCGATAAAATCCAACTCGAACGTGTACATCGTTTCGGAAAAAGAGGACAGAAATATGAGCGCCCAATCGTTGCCAAATTTGCTTTTTTTAAGGACAAAGCTATGGTGAAAAGCCTGGGAAAAAGACTTGCTGGCACGAAAATAGGCATGAATGATCAGTTCCCGAAGGAGATTGTAGAAAGGCGCAAAGTTCTGTATCCAATCTTCAAGGAAAACAGATTAAAAGGGAAACGTGTTGCACTAGTGGTGGATAAATTATATATTGACAACCAAATGTTCAGAGACACAAAGACTACTCCATGGCTATTCTAAATGTTGTAATGGAGGAGTCAAATATTGGAGCACCTGATACTAGCAATGATAGGGATTGTAATATTAAATAATATTTATAGTAAGTATAGTATTTTATAAATGGATAAAACGATATAACAAGCAGAATAATACATCTTTATATACAAATAATTAGAACATGGATTTTTTGGCGGGAGGTTGTTGTTTTGGCGGATGGTTGTTGTGGTTGGTCCTGTGTTCTCTCTGGCGTCCTTTCCCCCTTGCAGCAGATGGGATGCGGGTGCGTTTGCACGCTCGGCCCATTTCTTCCGCAGTCAACCATGTGGTGTGCATTTTTGTGTTTGAAAAGGTACGGCGTTAAGTGAGTGAGAGGGGAAATGGTTGCATATCCCAGAGCCGACCGGGGGTCTATGAACAGGGGTAGTGAGAGAGAGAGCTTTCAATTTTGTGTAGATGAGGGATATACATTTTTAAATATAGTATACATCTAATCTAATTATTCATTGTCCTATCATGATGGAAAGATCCCTAACCCTATAACCTGGACACCCACCTGAGCGACCCATACACCAAAGAGAAGTTCCCATCTATTTTATGGACCTGCTGTGAATATGCAGCCTAAATAGAGAAATAAATGCGGTCAGAGACCTACTTGAGCAGCACCGCCCCCTCAAGATTCTGAGCCTGCCTGGCAGGGTTGGTCCTACAAAGCCAGAGCCCCCTGATGGGAGAGCATAATATACAAGGAAATTCTCAAAGCTGCTAATGAGAACCTTGACGACCTTTTACCTAGCCGGTGGGGATTCCGGTGGGGTACGCCCACCCAGGTAGTGGCAGTGCTGGCAACACTGGCTGCAGTAACCCATGGGGAGGGGGTCACACTCGGACAATCAGAGAGGGGGTTTATCATTGTGGCCCAGGTGGCACAAAATAATCAAAGGTCTGACCGCATGGAGATGCTTGGGAAAATGGTTACAACAGGGGATCAGAGTGTTTGTGTCTCAGGTGAAGAGGGTGGATCTGATCTCCATCACCTAGGACTTGACATAGATTAAGTAGATTAATCAAATCTCACATTGTTGTCAATTTCTGCTCAATTTGCATGCTTTCTCAATCAGCTTTAACTGTATGTGCACTCGTAGATCAAGTTATTTCTCGAGTTGGGCTCTGGGATATAACAGCCGTTGAGTATCGGATTTTATGGTGGATTGTGGAGGAGGGGGGTTGAGTGTGTTGGAGTATGTGAGTATGTGCGTGTGTGCTGGTCTGGCATCTGTTGTGGGGGGGGGTGGGGATGTTGGGGGGGGGGGGGGGGGGGGGGTATGGGATGGACCGCGGGAATTATTTGCTAGGATAATAATTGCTTGTCAATGAATTAAATGTAATACAATGGCAATCCTGGTTATATGTTAGAATCCTATGCGTGAACTGCCGACATTATTACGCATATTAATTGATAATGATGGAAAATAGGATATGCATAATAAAAAATAAAAAAATAGTTACATAGATATATATATATATATATCGAGAGGTGAAAGCATTGGAAATGCTTTTGGCGGTTAACCTGCTTCTGTTTTGTGGGTGGCACTGTGTGCTGTTTTCGATGGATGGGTCCTGGCCTCTCGGGGCCTTAGGGATACGGAGGGACGTGGGGGGGATGCTGATCACTGGGATGACGGCTCAACTTGGGATGGGGAGGGGCTTTAGCGGGGGAATTAGTGGAGAACAATTGAAGGGTTACTCCGTAGCAATGCAAATATCACGGTACAGCTATATGGACACTCAATCATTACGCTATTTTTTATTGGTAAATTTACAAACATATATAATGATAAATAGACTTGAAACTTGTATCTCATTATGGTGTATGGTGAAATAAGTATAGCCAGTTATAATTGTAATGGCTTAGCTGATAATAACAAAAGAAGAACAATATTTACATGGCTCAAAGAGAAGGAATATAATATCTATTGTATACAGGAAACTCATTCAACAATTCGAGATGAAGTAGCGTGGAAAATAGAATGGGGGGGGGGAAATATACTTCTCCCATGGGCAAAGAAATTCAAAAGGGGTGATGATATTAATGAATAGTAATTTCGATCCGAATGTGCAAATTGTCCAAATAGATACGCAAGGTAGATGGATTATTTTAAATATGGTATTGGACCATAAACAGATATGGCTCATTAACCTTTACGGACCAAATAATGATGATCCACAATTCTTTGACAATATATATAATAAATTATCAAGCCTGCAAGCAACTCAAGACAATATTATTATGGTGGGGGATTATAATACTGTTTTAAATAGCTCAATGGACCGAAAAGGAAATCACACCACAAACAATCACCCACATGCTCTTAAGGAAATTGTGAATGTCATGGATACATTAGAACTAGTAGATATATGGAGGCTTAAATATGCTGATCTAGTGAGATATACATGGCGGAGACTGAATCAAGCTAGTCGTCTTGACTTCTTTCTTATCTCATTCTCGTTGGCACCAAAAGTAAAAAAAGTGTTGATAGGGGACAGAATGCGGTCGGACCATCATATAATAGGCATATACATTACTCTGACTGAATTTCCACGTGGGCGAGGATATTGGAAATTTAATCAAAGCCTATTAGATGATAATTTATTTATAATTAGAACAAAGGAATTTATAACTGACTTTTTCCAACATAACATAGGTACAGCGAATCCCCTTATTGTATGGGACACCTTTAAATGTGCCTTTAGAGGCCATGCAATTCAGTACTCATCTCGAAAACAAAAGCAATTTAGGTCAAAAGAGTTTATACTAAGAAAGGAAATAGAAAGTCTAACAGAACAGATAGATGGCAATAAAAACTAACATAGAGGCTCAGAATAAATTAGAGGAAAAACAAAAAGAAATGGAAAAACTTATTCAAGAAAGATCAAGTGTAATATATTATAAAAATAAAGCAAACTGGATGGAATATGGGGAAAAATGCACAACATTCTTTTTTAATCTTCAACATAGGAATGCTACCAAAAAGAACTTAATGAAACTGGTTACAATTGACGGAGTCACCCATAATTCACCTAATGATATTTTGAAGGAAGAAACAAAGTATTTTAAGCATATGTTTTCTTTTCAGTCGCCTCCATCTCCTCTAACTGAAGCTAATTGTAGATATTTTTTTCCTATTGATAATGTCAAATTAACAGCCACACAGAAAGACTCATGTGAAGGTGAAATTACAGAGGAGGAACTTCTGGATGCAATTAAAGACTTTAAGTCCGGGAAAACTCCAGGGTTGGATGGCATACCAATCGAGGTATACCAAACCTTTTTTGATATACTAAGAGTACCGTTATTAGCATGTTTTAACCACTCCTATGTAAATGGTAGATTATCTGACACTCAAGAAGAAGGTCTGATCTCATTATTACTGAAACAGGATACAAGTGGAAAATATAAAGATCCAGTCCATTTACAAAATTGGAGGCCCCTTACACTTCAGTGTTGTGATGCAAAAATCCTAGCAAAATGTATAGCGCATAGAATTAAAAAGGTATTGTCGGATATTATTCATTCTAATCAGACAGGTTTTTTACATGGAAGATACATTGGAGATAATATAAGGCAAGTATTGGAAACAATAGAACACTATGGAAAATATGGGAAACCAGGCCTGCTATTCATAGCAGACTTCGAAAAGGCATTTGATAAAGTTCGACTGGAATTTATATATAAATGCCTGGAGCATTTCAATTTTGGAGAATCTCTTATAAAATGGGTCAAAATCATGTATAGTAACCCTAGGTGTAAAATAGTAAATAATGGCTATTTCTCAGAAAGTTTCAAACTGTCAAGAGGAGTGAAACAAGGTTGTCCACTATCGGCATATCTATTTATTGTGGCCATCGAGATGTTAGCTATTAAAATCAGATCCAATAATAATATCAGAGGATTAGAAATACAGGGCTTAAAAACAAAGGTGTCATTGTACGCAGATGATTCATGTTTTCTTTTAGATCCACAACTAGAATCCCTCCACAGCCTCATAGAGGATCTAGATACATTTTCTAACCTCTCTGGATTAAAACCAAATTATGACAAATGTACTATATTACGTATTGGATCACTAAAAAATACAATTTTTACATTACCATGTAGTTTACCAATAAAATGGTCTGATGGTGATGTGGATATACTCGGAATACATATCCCAAAGGAAATAAATGATCTCACTTCAATACATTTGAATAGAAAGTTAGCAAAAATAGATAAGATCTTACTACCATGGAAAGGAAAATACCTGTCAATTTGTGGAAAAATCACCCTGATTAACTCTTTAGTATTATCCCAGTTTACCTATTTGCTTATGGTCTTGCCTACGCCTAGCAAACAGTTTTTTAAATTATATGAGAAAAAAATATTCAATTTTATTTGGAACGGCAAGCCAGACAAAATTAAAAGAGCATATTTATATAATGAATATGAATTCGGAGGACAGAAATTATTAAATATTAAAGCATTAGACCTATCACTAAAATCTTCAGTCATCCAAAAGTTATACTTAAATCCGAACTGGTTCTCAAGCAAATTAGTAAGATTGTCTCACCCACTGTTCAAGAAAGGCCTTTTTCCCTTTATTCAGATTACAACCTCTCACTTTCAGTTATTTGAAAAGGAAATAATCTCCCAAATGTCACTATTTCTAAAACAAGCCATAGAAAGTTGGTTGCAATTTCAATTTAATCCTCCAGAAACGACAGAACAAATAATGCAACAAATATTGTGGTTAAATTCAAATATACTAATTGACAAAAAACCTTTATTTTTTGACAGAATGTTTAAAAAAGGTATAATCTTCGTAAATGATATCATCGGTAGGACTGGTGGAGTTATGTCGCACATGCAGCTAACAAAAACATATGGAAATGTCTGCTCTACCCAAAATTACAACCAAATAATTGCAGCCTTACCGCAAAAGTGGAAGAGGAAAGTTGAAGGGGGAGAAAGTAAGGAACTTGTCTGTCGGCCTTGCATTAAAGAACATAATTGGTTAAGGAAAACTGTGATAAATAAAAAAGTATATCAGTTTCACTTAAGGACCAAAGGATTGACAGCAGTCCTATATAGATTGCAAAATAGTTGGGAAGAGATCTTTGACGTACCGATCCCATGGCATAGTGTTTATGAACTGACACGCAAAACGACACCGGATTCAAAAATTAGAATCTTTCAATTTAAATTATTATATAAAATTCTTGCTACCAATAGAATGTTATTTATATGGGGGATACAATCTTCCCAGCTCTGCAGATTTTGCTGTGAAGAGATAGAATCATTAGATCATTTGTTTTGGTTCTGTCCATTTGTAGCTTGTTTTTGGACACAGGTCCAGGAATGGCTAAAGGATTGCAATATTTACCTGGAACTAACCTTGCAGATAGCATTACTGGGTGATCTGAAAAGTCATAGTCAATCAATCAATAATATAATAATACTTTTAGCAAAAATGTTTATTTTTAATTCACAATCTGTAGAAGCAATGAGAATAGAAAGGTTCAGAACTTTTGTAAAACATCACAGTATGGTTGAAATATATATGGCAAATAGAAATCCTATATGGATGGTGTTGAGAGATAGATGGGAGGTATTGAATAGAGTTGAAGGATGGGACTAATAACAAATAACAACAAATAATAACAAAGATAGCTAATAATGTAAGCATACTGTGTCCATAATAAGTATATAGGTTGTATGTTGGGAGCTTTTGGGAAAGAGCACAGTTAGAAAGATATGGCATTTAGAAGCAAACCGGATGGACATCATGAAAATGATCGGAGAGGTTGAGAGCAGAAGAAGTTCAGGAGCAAAGAAATAAATAAATATATATATATATATATATATATAGATATATAGATATAGATATAGAATTATTGTAAAATTAACTCTGTCCATAAGGTGTAGATAGTAAGTATAGACCGGAAGTAGAGGCCTGGGCGTTGTTGTTCACTAATTTACTCCAAGTAGGGAAAGGATGGTGGGGTTGAAAAGTAATAAAGGGGAATATATATATAAAAAATAAAAAAAACATGGGGGATTGGAAGTGATGCAGACAATTACATAGATAGAAGATACAATCTATCTGCAATATTAAGCTGATCCATCCCCCCGAAAAAAAAAAAGCTGTGTAAGGACATCATGGATAAAATTGTAGACCTGCACAAGGCTGGGATGGGCAACAGGACAATAGCCAAGCAGCTTGGTGAGAAGGCAACAACTGTTGGTGCAATTATTAGAAAATGGAAGAAGTTCAAGATGACGGACAATCACCCTCGGTCTGGGGCTCCATGCAAGATCTCACCTCGTGGGGCATCAATGATCATGAGGAAGGTGAGGGATCAGCCCAGAACTACACGGCAGGACCTGGTCAATGACCTGAAGAGAGCTGGGACCACAGTCTCAAAGAAAACCATTAGTAACAAACTACGCCGTCATGGATTAAAATCCTGCAGCGCACGCAAGGTCCCCCTGCTCAAGCCAGCGCATGTCCAGGCCCGTCTGAAGTTTGCCAATGACCATCTGGATGATCCAGAGGAGGAATGGGAAAAGGTAATGTGGTCTGATGAGACAAAAATAGAGCTTTTTGGTCTAAACTCCACTCGCCGTGTTTGTTGGAAGAAGAAGGAGTACAACCCCAAGAACACAATCTCAACCGTGAAGCATGGAGGTGGAAACATCATTCTTTGGGGATGCTTTTCTGCTGCAAAGGGGACAGGACGACTGCACCGTATTGAGGAGAGGATGGATGGGGCCATGTATCGCGAGATCTTGGCCAACAACCTCCTTCCCTCAGTAAGAGCATTGAAGATGGGTCGTGGCTGGGTCTTCCAGCATGACAACGACCCGAAACACACAGCCAGGGCAACTAAGGAGTGGCTCCGTAAGAAGCATCTCAAGGTCCTGGAGTGGCCTAGCCAGTCACCAGACCTGAACCCAATAGAAAGGGAGCTGAATGTCCGTCTTGCCTAGCGACAGCCCCGAAACCTGAAGGATCTGGAGAAGGTCTGTATGGAGGAGTGGGCCAAAATCCCTGCTGCAGTGTGTGCAAACCTGGTCAAGACCTACAGGAAACGTATGATCTCTGTAATTGCAAACAAAGGTTTCTGTACCAAATATTAAGTTCTGCTTTTCTGATGTATCAAATACTGATGTCATGCAATAAAATGCAAATGAATTACTTAAAAATCATACAATGTGATTTTCTGGATTTTTGTTTTAGATTCCGTCTCTCACAGTTGAAGTGTACCTATGATAAAAATTACAGACCTCTACATGCTTTGTAAGTAGGAAAACCTGCAAAATCAGCAGTGTATCAAATACTTGTTCTCCCCACTGTGTATATATATACAGTGGGGAAAAAAAGTATTTAGTCAGCCACCAATTGTGCAAGTTCTCCCGCTTAAAAAGATGAGAGAGGCCTGTAATTTTCATCATAGGTACACGTCAACTATGACAGACAAATTGAGATTTTTTTTCTCCAGAAAATCACCTTGTAGGATTTTTTATGAATTTATTAGCAAATTATGGTGGAAAATAAGTATTTGGTCACCTACAAACAAGCAAGATTTCTGGCTCTCACAGACCTGTAACTTCTTCTTTAAGAGGCTCCTCTGTCCTCCACTCGTTACCTGTATTAATGGCACCTGTTTGAACTTGTTATCAGTATAAAAGACACCTGTCCACAACCTCAAACAGTCACACTCCAAACTCCACTATGGCCAAGACCAAAGAGCTGTCAAAGGACCCAGCCACATTTCATCTTCAATGCCCTTGCTGATGGAAGGAGGTTTTCACTCAAAATCTCACGATACATGGCCCCATTCATTCTTTCCTTTACACGGATCAGTCGTCCTGGTCCCTTTGCAGAAAAACAGTCCCAAAGCATGATGTTTCCACCCCCATGCTTCACAGTAGGTATGGTGTTCTTTGGATGCAACTCAGCATTCTTTGTCCTCCAAACACGACGAGTTGAGTTTTTACCAAAAAGTTATATTTTGGTTTCATCTGACCATATGACATTCTCCCAATCCTCTTTTGGATCATCCAAATGCACTCTAGCAAACTTCAGACGGGCCTGGACATGTACTGGCTTAAGCAGGGGAACACGTCTGGCACTGCATGATTTGAGTCCCTGGCGGCGTAGTGTGTTACTGATGGTATGCTTTGTTACTTTGGTCCCAGCTCTCTGCAGGTCATTCACTAGGTCCCCCCGTGTGGTTCTGGGATTTTTGCTCACCGTTCTTGTGATCATTTTGACCCCACGGGGTGAGATCTTGCGTGGAGCCCCAGATCGAGGGAGATTATCAGTGGTCTTGTATGTCTTCCATTTCCTAATAATTGCTCCCACAGTTGATTTCTTCAAACCAAGCTGCTTACCTATTGCAGATTCAGTCTTCCCAGCCTGGTGCAGGTCTACAATTTAGTTTCTGGTGTCCTTTGACAGCTCTTTCGTCTTGGCCATAGTGGAGTTTGGAGTGTGACTGTTTGAGGTTGTGGACAGGTGTCTTTTATACTGATAACAAGTTCAAACAGGTGCCATTAATACAGGTAACGATTGGAGGACAGAGGAGCCTCTTAAAAAAGAAGTTACAGGTCTGTGAGAGCCAGAAATCTTGCTTGTTTGTAGGTGACCAAATACTTATTTTCCACCATCATTTGCAAATAAATTCATTAAAAATCCTACAATGTGATTTTCTGGATATTTTTTCCTCAATTTGTCTGTCATAATTGACATGTACCTATGATGAAAATTACAGGCCTCTCTCATCTTTTTAAGTGGGAGAACTTGCACAATTGGTGGCTGACTAAATACTTTTTTCCCCCACTGTGTGTGTGTGTGTGTGTGTATATATATATATATATATATATATATATATATATATATATATATATATATATATATATATATATATATATATATATATATATATATATATATATATATATACACATTTATATATATAAAATATATATGGGGAATTGGAAATTATGCAGACAATTACATTGATGGAAACTACAATCTATCTGCAATATTAAAGCTGATCTACCCCCTAATAAAACAATGTAAAAGAACACACAGGGAGAGAGAATATTTGCTATAGCACACAAGGAACAGTTGCTATAGCAATCCCTGCCAACCTCTGCTACCATTAAACAGAATGGAGACCAGTTATACACCATTATTAGACATTCTCCTGGAGTTCGCTATGGCTTCTGTTCCTCCCACATCTACTAATCTCACTCAGAAATGAAGCCAGGAGAAATAGCCTATCGTGATGCTTTATTTTACAGTCGCCAAATTTTATTCACATTTTATTGAATTTTGTTTCACTCACTTCTTCAGTTTCATGTAGTTTTGGTTGACGGCAGGTCTGCACTCTGCTCTCTGTACCACTATGCCCTCCAGACTGATCTTATCTGAAACAAAGACAATACATGTTTCCTTTAAGGACCTACACACACACAAAAATCATTAGCAGATTGCTGGTTTTAATCACATTGTATTCTTTATTTCAATACAACAGGACTAAAAGTGTTATTTAATAGCCTTCAGCACTGGACTGAACATGCAGCCAAATTTATATTTGACTGAACTGAACCGCTTGACTGAATCAATAGAGAAACCACCCGAGCTGAGTACTCCACAGCCAACACTCCAAATCTCCACCAACTGCCACTGGACTGCTCATCAAGACCTTGCCATTTCAAAATGTAGTGATTCATCTATTTGGAGTTTTCCTTGTCATTGTGTGTGTTTTACTATCCTAGTCCTCACAAGGATAGTAAAACAAGGAAAATTCGGACAAATGGGGACATTTTGCTGGGCCCCACGAGGAAAAACACAATTTTAGGCATAGGGGTTAGGTTTAGGGTTACAATTAGGGTTAGAATTAAGGTTAGGGTTAAGGTGTTACGATTAGGCTTAGGAGTTAGGTATAGGTTTAGGGTTAGGTGTTTGGGGTTAAGGTTAGGCCTAGGGTTATGGTTAGGTTAAGGTTAGGGAAAATAGGATTTTGGATGGGAATCAATTCTTTGGTCCCCACAAGGATAGCAATACAAAATTGTGTCTGTGTGTGTTTGTGTCTAACAAGGGGGCGGGGATAGGTTCACACCATTGTATAAGAAACGTTCATCCAAAGATAAAGAGTACACTCTGTCCAGACTTTGCCCAACAAACGCCCAAGAACAGCCAACAACCACTGGTGTCCGTTTGCGTTTGTTAGCTAATCAGGTTTTGTTCTACTGAAACAAAATGTTCAGTTGGTGTTTGTTGGTGCTATTAAAAATCTGTGCACTTTTACAGATGGCTCCAGAGAAATCACTTCACAGTCAGTCCAATGTCACAGATCTCACACACTCACTAATATCCATTCCTCACCTTTTTCACAAATGGATACAATTATGTGCAATTATTGCATGATAAGTGCTGAAACACTTGCTGGCGCATCTCTATAAACACACCTACACACAAACGCATCACTCAACTTCAGAGCAGCCTGCCTCCATCTCCCTCTCTAGCTACTCACAGGCCACTGGCTGGGATCACCTGGGTCAGGGCCGTATGGGAGAGAATAGTTTACTGTAGATCTCCTCTCTCATATACTCCACTCAAGGCTCCCTCTCTCTCCCCCTCTCCTTTTCCATTCTCTCTCTTCCGGTCTTCTCTTTTTTAACCTATCCCCTACTTTATCCCTCTCTCACCAGACTGCTCATGCCTCTTCTCCTGTAGGGTTCTCCTGTTGAGGGTTTATGCCTGTTTAGTGTGGCATGAATTAGGCTAAAACGTGCAGGTCCCAATGGACGCTGGTATGTAGGAGAGCAAAGCTGCACATGCAGAGATGGAGAGAGAGATAGGACGCAGAAAGAGAGGAGAACAGAATGAGAGGAGGAGGAGGAAGGCACAGTGAGAGGTGGAATGGCCACAGTATTTGTTGCTCAAGGCTGTCAAGCTAAGAGGGAGAGGAACGGGAGGAGAGAGAAAGAGAGGGAAGAGGAGAAAGAAGGGCAAGAAAGTCAAGCTACCACCCACTCATCTCCCACCATCTCTAACCTCTTATCTGCTCTAAGGACCCTCCATCTAAAAGCACACACACACACACTCTACCCCCACTCCCACCCTCTCCTACTAATATTCCCTAGATACCTCCGTCTCTGTATCTGAATATTCCAGGAGAATGAATTTGTGAGCCTTCAGATTTCTCAAGCCTCTGGTGAATCTCAGAGACGCTAGACTACCAAAAACCCTCAGATAGTAAAGTGGCTATTGGAGGAATGTGTTAAAAACGGCCAAATATGATAGTAAATTGCTCTATTCATCCTTGACGGGACAGAACAGCGACAAAGTCTATAACAAAGAGAGAGAGAGAACCTGCGAGGAAACCTGTTGACTAGATCGACTACTACTATCAGCCTGCGTACAGGAACAAGACAGACCGCCTCATCTCTCAGACCACGGTAGTCTCTAACCTTAACCCTACGTCAAAAACAAACACCTTATGAACCTGCTCATTAATGTCGGCCCTATTGCTGTTTTTGTCCTACTGACAATCCACACCACACTATACTACACAACACAGCCTTGGAAAAATAGCCCAACAGGTCTCAATAGTGGAGGAGATGTAAGCTGACTGCATGCCCAAAGCCATCTCCCTGTGACTACCAGATCTATAAATGACTTCCCATGAGGGGAGGGAGTTAGGGACACTCAGATATGATCAGGACACGTAATACTAGAGAACCACTAATCTCTCCACAGCCTGGTAGGGAGAGAGAAGACATCTTTATCAACAATCTGCTGTTAGGGGCTATTAATTAACTTCATTACCTGTATCAAACCCACCAGAAGACATTTTCAGCACCCTTAGTGGAGATATTTGCTAAAATACAGCCAACATCAGAGAGTGTTTGACATAGAGAGAGAGCGCATGTGACTAACAGGGTTTGAACCCTGGTTGTCTATACAGCCAGCCCTAAACCGTGTTAGCCTGCTGAGCTAATGCCCAGGCATTAGCTTAGGAAGCCTTATGCAAATCTACAGGTCTCAGGCAAGGTTACCTAACCACCTCTGCCACACACACCATTTATGTTCCTCAAGGCTACTGTTGCTATGCCAGCTTCACTGCAGTTTGTGATATAACGTTCCAGCTCCGACTTGGCCAGCAACATTATGAATAATTCAACATCTTTAATGAAAAGAGACCGTGATTTTACAGATGGGAATCCCCATTACTGCTCTCATTACTTTGAGGAAATAAAAAAGAACAAGAAATCAAATAGATTCCGACATGATGTTGAACAATTATCTCAGGTAATGATGGTGTGATAGGGCTGGGAAGGAACACAGGTCATCCACCCACCCACCCACCCACCCACCCACCCACCCACCATCTCCTCTCCGCTGTTCCACTGCCTTGTTTGCAATTCTAATGCGGGGATGATTCCATTAATCACATTATGATTAAAAAACCACCATGGTACGGTCGAGCCGCCTCGTTGATCGCCGATGTGTCACTCAGACGTCACCGTGGTGAACTGTTACTGGAATCATAGGCTCATTTTTTGCATAAAGCTTCCTACTGGTTTATTCTGATACTCAGAGCTCATCTTTCTACAACAAGTTTCCAAGTCGAAAATGTCAGCGTTTCCTAGTTGTCTGGAATGCAGCATTTATACACACACACACACACACACACACACACACACACACACAGGAAATTAACTGAATGGAAAGGTTTGTCAGACTGCCACACTGATTGTCCACAAGTACGTCTATTTAAGGGGGTGAGTGAATGGAAGTCGCGCCTCCACTTCTGGAGACGGCAGAGAGTGGTATTCTATTGGATAGGTTGTCTCTCTGTCAAGAGTGTGTGGGGAATGTTCTACACCTGGATTCTGGGGTGATTGCTAGGTTTAATTTAAATTTGAACACCAGCATACACACAACAGAGCCCTCTGTATAACTGTAGACAATTGTAGACAGCTCCATCAAACAAACAGACTTCTCACTGAGAGAAAAGACAACATGATGACATCCCCCTTGTTACACACACACACAACCTGACATCGATGTCACTGTTTCCTTTAATTGCACTTCTGCCCCCAAGGGAGAGTGTGTGTGTGATAGATAAAGGAAGAGAGAAGAGTGGGTCCAGTAACATCACTGTCTGACTGACTGACAGCCCATCACCTGCAGGACACACACACTCCCGCTCTCACTTTCTCTGTTTCTCTCTCTCCCTCTCCTCAGGGAACAAAACTGTTAATAAACACACCCACCACTCTTAGTTACCATGAGTGACATGAGTAGACATTGTCCAGGCAGTTTGTCACTGTCAGCCCATGTAGAAAGAAACATTGTATTTACTTTGGTCATGTAGTGTATAATACAGTGTGTTGACAAGTTGGTCCCCCCTTTGCCTTCTGGGAAGGCTTTCCACTAGATGTTGGAACATTGCTGTGGGGACTTGCTTCCATTCAGCCACAAGAGCATTAGTGAGGTCGGGCACTGATGTTGGGCGATTAGACCTGGTTCGCAGTTGGCATTCAAATTCCTCCCAAGGGTGTTCGAAGGGGTTGAGGTCAGGGATCTGTGCAGGCCAGTCAAGTTCTTCCACACCGATCTCGACAAACCATTTCTGTATGGACCTCGCTTTGTGCACAGGGGCATTGTCATGCTGAAACAGGAAAGGGCCTTCCCCAAACTGTTGCCACAAAGTTGGAAGCACAGAATCGTCTAGAATGTAATTGTATGCTGTAGTGTTAAGATGTCCCGACGAACAGCTCGTGCTGATATTGCTTCCAGAGGCAGTTTGGAACTCGGTAGTGAGTGTTGCAACCGAGGACAGACAATTTTTAGCACTCAGCGGTCCCGTTCTGTGAGCTTGTGTGGCCTACTACTTCGCGGGCTGAGCCATTGGTTGCTCCTAGACGTTTCCCCTTCACAATAACAGCACTTACAGTTGACCGGGGCAGCTCTAGCAGAGCAGAAATTGTACAAACTGACATGTTGGAAAGGTGGCATCCTATGACGGTGCCACGTTAAAAGTCACTGAGCTCTTCAGTAACATGCTACCCAGACCGTCCTCGTGCGCCATTGCGCGCAAGTTGATTTTGTCCCCCCCACACCAGACGCGATCAGGACACGCAGGTTGAAATATCAAAACAAACTCTGAACCAATTATATTAATTTTGGGACAGGTTGAAAAACAAACATTTATGGCAATTTAGCTAGCTAGCTTGCTTTTGCTAGCTAATTTGTCCTGGGATATAAACATTGGGTTGTTATTTTATCTGAAATGCACAAGGTCCTCACTCTGACAATTAATCCACAGATAAAACGGTAAAAGTTTGTTTTCTAGTAATCTCTCCTCCTTCACGCTTCTTCTTCGTTGGACTTTATATGGCAGTTGGCAACCAACTTTATGGTGCATTACCCCAACCAACTGGACTGGAGCGTAGACCTCAGTTCATCTTTCAATCACCCACGTGGGTAGATGCTCCTAAAAACAATGAGGAGATGGGAGAGACAGGACTTGCAGCGCGTTGAGCGTCACAAATAGAACCAAGTTCTATTTTAGCGCCTGGCCACCCAGACGCTTGTTGATGCGCGCGAGCAGTGTGGGTGCAATGATTGAATAACATGTATGTGTACATTTATTTTGCGACGCGTTGCGGTGGTCAGCATGTAAGGCCATTCTACTGCCAATGTTTGTCTATGGAGATTGCATAGCTGTGTGCTCGATTTTATACACCTGTCAGCAATGGGTGTGGCTGAAATAGCCGAATCCACTAATTTGAAGGGTGTCCACATACTTTGTATATATAGTGTACATGATTGATTAAGCCCCTTGCTACGTGCTCTGGAGGTTAACACTACAAGTCTATGACCATAATAATAAACAAGCCTCTGTCTTCCTTATAAAGCAGTAACAGAGACAGTTGGCAGAGTAACAGAGACATTACACTCGGTTTAGAACCAATTATGTTCCAGTCAACTCCCCAGGCTGTGGGTGGATACAGGAGGATGTGGACAAATCAAAGACACTGTCTGCCTGCATACACCAGTAATTGGGCTGTTCCCACAAACACACACACATGGAGATCTTAACCAACTGCACGTAATCTTGGAGAGAAATCAGGCCATTTGCGTAAATACACACAATCTGCCCATTTATCCCCATCTCTCCATCACACTGCCAGCGAATGTGCCCACTATGCTGCCAGTAAATGCCTCCCTGAACAAAGCTGTAAACATGGTCTCTAACACATATCTGACTGCAGCAAGTCTCTATAACAGAGATACTGCCACCTCCCCCCCTCAGTCTGGGGGTTGGGGAGAGAGATTTGTTATCCGAGTTCCCTGCCACGACAAC